AATAAAAAAGTCACTGTCATCATAAAGTCATTGTCATCGTAAAAGAGAGAGAGAAATGACATATTTACTGCAATATATGCAAAAATTTCACAACATTTCTTTTACGCATATTCCTTTTTTCATAGTTTGAAATTTTGCACATTCTTTTTTTTTTTTATATTCTGAAATTTTTGTTTTCCTTTGTTCATTTTCAAAAAACTTTGCATGCTGCATGCATGCATTTTGCATTTTATGGGATATATTAATAGTATGTTTATTGCAATTTGCAAATTACATAATTTATTTCATTTAAAATTTAATCCTATTGCATTAAAGAATTATTTTCCTTTTGTTTTTAGCTAAAACATATGTTTCATTTTCAAAAAAACTTTGCATGCTGCATGCATGCATTTTGCATTTTATGAGATATATTAATAGTATGTTTATTGCAATTTGCAAATTACATAATTTATTTCATTTAAAATTTAATCCTATTGCATTAAAAAATTATTTTCCTTTTGTCTTTAGCTAAAATATACATGTTAGATTTAAATAATGGACAAAAAGAAAATGATAAGGGAGAAAAAGGTAAAGTACGTTGAAAAAAAAGTTAAATAAGAAATGAAAAATTCAATAACAAACATATAATTAATATCATTAAATTATTAGCAATTGTGTCATCAATCTTATCAAAATTTATCATCCTTCATGTCTAATCTCATCAAAATTTATCATCCTTCATGTCTAGCCTTATCAAAACTTATCATCCTTCATTTCTAATCTTATAAAATTTATCATCCTTCATGTCTAATCTTATCAAAACTTATTGCCATTCCTCATGTTTATATCTTTTCTTTTTTTATTCTGTGAAGATATAAAAATTAATGTGAAATATTTTCTAAATTATTGATTCAAAAATTGCATGAATGAAAATTTATTTTCATTTATGTGTATATTTTATCATTCATTGCATATTTGATAGACAATTTTATTTTTTTATAAAGAAAATGATGATATTACAATGATCATTTATTAATTTTATTAAAATGTGGAAAGGTGAATATTCTCTTTCAGTCATCTCTTTATTATGTACAATATTTCCACGAGGTATAATCGTGATATTAATAAAATAATTTAATCAATTAGCAAATATCATGATATGAATTTCCCTAAATCGACAAAAATTTATTAGAATTAATATTTCATTAAAAATTTATTTATACATAAATTATTTGTTATACAAGATTTGAATTTTGAATTTTTTTTTAAACTATATATTTATTATTTTATCCATTTAATGATTAACTGTAAACTGAAAAAAAAATAATATATATATATATAGACGTATTATAAATTGGACATGAATTTTTAAAAAAAAAAAGTTAATGCTATTTACATTTACCAGAATAAATCACTTTAATTATAAATTATAATTATTTAGTTATGAATTAATAATTGATAGTTATAAATATGAATACATTTCTAAAAGATCATAAATAATATTTTGATAAATTGTAATATTTGATACAAATCGTATGATTGAAATATAACAAAACAATACAATGCATATAATTAATTATAAATATGGATATGTATATTTTAGGAGATACAAATCGTGATATTTTATGTACAGATTCATTAACATGTAATGAACATCATCGTTTATGGTGGCTTCATATGCGTAATCATGCTAACAATATTCAACAATTTATGGAACATAAACGATATAAAAATGAAATAGAAGGAAATGAATTATCTGTATATTCATTAAAAATGCGATATATATTATGCAAAGAAGTACAAAGTGTAGGTTTTATGATTGATACAAGAAATGACCAATGGCCATTACGATGTTTATGGATTGGAAATGCTATGAATGGTACATGTGCACCAGCACCACCAAGTAATCGATCAATTTTTTATATTACACCTAAAGAATGGCAACAAAAAGTTAAGGTATATGTTTTAATTGATATTTAATTAAATGTATAGTTTTCTTTCTCATCTAAATGGCTATATTTATAGTAAACCTTTTTTTCTTTTTTTTTTTAATTTTACAAAATATTGGTAGATACTGTATATTATTTGAAATAATTATTGCAACAAAATTTGATTTAGTAAATTTAATTAGTATCTATTCATAAAATATACAATAATGTGCAATCAATAATGTTATTTGTTCAGGAATTTCGCATTAAAATTGGTTGTAATAGTACGGATATTGAAAATGCAAACAAGGTAGGTATGATATTTTTTTAATTTAGGTAAGATATTTTTTCAATTATTTTCAGACTTCCGTATTTTCATGAGAAAATTAATGAAGAAAAAAAAAGAATTAGGTAATACAATTATAATTTCAGCATTAAATCTATCAGGATAATAATCATTTCCGAAAGTAAAACATTGCTCTTAGCTAAAAATATAAATCAATATTAACTAATGAATTAGTAAATTAATCATTTAAAATGAAGGATATGTAAAAATTAGAACAAATGTAGTTGGACGAGTTATATGTATGTAAGGAACGATGTATCCAAGCTGGAATTGGTTACATGTCATCGATGTTTATTATGACAACATTGCTTGTCTCCCTTACATTGCTGCTAATGAAGTGAACAAGAATGCAATTACGAAAGAGCGAAAAAAGATGTTTACGTGTAATGTTAAAAAAGAGCGTACCAAATATATAGTTTCAAATGGAATAAAATTTTTTCAAAAAATTCTATACAAAATCTCATATTCCTTTCATCTAAATTCATCAAAATTTGGATATAGTCCAAGTTTTCGAAGGTTATTTTTGCGTTCTTTCTCAGAATAATCGCACAAAGCCACGATTTTTGCCCCGTTAACAGAAAGAAAATGAATTTAAAGCTCGGGGAATTAGGGAAGTGAAAGTTTCTTCCTTTAAAATAAAATCCGAGTAATTTCGGCAAAAAGTCGTAAATTCATGTCAATTGAACGGAAGTATTTGAATGTTAGGTGACAACCAATTATGCAAATACTGGAAGCTAAATTGGCAACTTTATTGAAAATTTTCCAATTTTGTTTTACAATTAGGATTCCACTCGTCACATACTTGCTCTTTTCAAATTTTTAATGGAGAAATAGAAACAAATAATCATGGTAAGGCAAAGTCGCGATAGTTCTTGTACATATATATATATATATATATATATATATAATATTATGAACTCATATCTAGCAAAATTACAATCTAAGCATCCATGCAAAATTTCATGTATCACGTGAATATCATGAACTGGTCTTTCTGTTTTGGATAGCGACAAATTTCGAAATCAAAGTATTGGATAAATTTCGACGGTAATTATCCATTTCTTCAACTTTCTGCAAAGCAAGACTATTTTCAAACTAAATTAACCCATATGCTCTGAAGCTGTATGATACTCTTTTGTTTATTTTTCTTTTAATTTTAGTTTTGATGTTTTGAAACTTGTCATACTCACAGATGATTATTAATTTCTGCTTTAAAGCATACGATGACGACCCATTTGATCCTGCTTCATTTATGATTACTGAATTAAGTCAGGACAAGCAGAGAGAGGATAGAACAGAGGCAAATCCAGCCTTTTTCTTCCAAAAAGAAAAAGATTTCTTTGTAGGAAAACTTATTAAATGCCAAATTGACCTTTCCAAGCAATTCCAACCTCCTTTCCATACCAGCAATGATAGTTTCGTCTTTAATTGCATTATCGTGATAAATATTTCGTTCCTTCAGAAGAGCATCCACAATATCATATATCCAACTTGTATCCAAATTTAATGTCAGTGCACAGAATTCAAACTGGAAAAAAAAAATCAGGAAATGCACTAAAAGAATTCTGCTCTCCAGTAATGTTATTTCTGCCTTTTACTAAAAGCAGTACAAACTTTCATCACTCTACGTAAAATATTTAGTACTGTAGCTGAAAGCGACATGGTTATATTTTAAAATGATTAGAAATGTAATAAATTCCTAAATGCATTACTGCTCTCAATTCCAGGCAGTAAGTCAAGACAACGAGAATGCTCGGGATAATAGAAAATGATTGAAACAATCATCAACAGTGAAAAAACAATCATCGACATCAACTTGCAGGGATTGAAAATTAATTTGTGAATCAAACACTCACCGTAAGACCATCTTCATCCGATCGAATCCATCTCACCTGCAAAAACAACGAATAATCACGAAATATGGCAAAATTAAACTACCACATCCACAATTACAGTTTATAACTAAAACAGAAGAAGCGAATGTAAGCACGAGTATTTCATTTTTCTACGTTTCATCATTCAGTTCTTCCATTCTGAAAACTTTCACCTTCAATCGAGTTACTGGCATCTGAACTATAGCAAATATAGCAGACAATAAGTAGTTATTTCACTTC